ATCATGGGGGAATCCTACTAATGTTTTACTATTATACACAGGAATATACTGCAGGAAATCCTTCCCAAGTGCTCAATGTGCTTGAAAGACATTTTTACATTAATCTTGAAAATCTAAAGCAAAAAGCGTGTATCTTAAGGACTGAGTCATAAATCAGAAAAGAGACTGTCTATCTTAAGCCTGTGACACTCCCTCCCCCCAAACAGTATGTTGGGCTTGGTCACAAAATGTGCCATATGGCCTCTTCCCTGCCATCGTAGATACACACGAGCTTGTGCCATTTTGTAGCTAAAATCTTTGTAGAGAAAATAGGGCTTAAAGTTTGGGCACCAAGATCTCCAGTAAACACATTAAACATGTTTTAAGTAAAATAAAACATCAATAGGCAATAGTTGGCATTGATTAGTCTTTATTGCGGCCCAGGTACAATTTTCATTTACCATTCTTCATGCACTTCACACCTCCAGAATTATTTTGTCTCAGTTTCTTTCTTTTTTTTTTTTAAAGATTTTATTTATTTATACAAGAGCTGGGGTATAGGTCAGAGGCACGGGAGGGTGAGAGGATTCACCAGAGACAGAGTGGGGAGCAGAACAGGCAGACGACCAAAATACACTGCTGAGGGGAGCGGCGGGCGAGGCAGGAGAGGTCTGCCACGCCATGTGGGAATCTCCCTGGCCGGCCAGGAATTGAACCCGCACTGCAGAGGCTACAGACAGCTTCCCAGGGTGGCACTCAACACGCTGCGCCACCAGGGCCTCCCTGTGGGATGACCCCTGTGTCTCAGTTTCATTCACACTATTGTCAGGAAGAGGTGTTCTTGTTCCAGATTTGTCCAGAGCCTTTGCGTCTGATCTTGAGTCTTGAGATGGTGGAAGTCTTCCCTCAGTTAGCTCCCCTCAGGGTTCACAGAGTCACAAAGAAAGATCAAGGAGGCTATGTCTTTGGGAAAACTTTCATGAAGAACAGCTCATGCTTGCACAGGAGATTTCCCAGACCTTACCTGAGGATAGAACACACCTTCGGTTCTCCCATAATGACTGACTTCAGACAACAGAAAGGGAGAACACGCCACCCAACTCTGCCAGCCAGTTGGCTGAGGGAAGGTTGTTCATCTAGGGGACCTCAGAGTCTCCCAGAAAGACTCAGCAACAATCTCACCTTCCTTATGCTCTCCTGAGGCCAGTGTTATGGCTGAACTGAGTCTCCCTCCAATTCATATGCTCAAGCCATAACCTTCAGTAGCTCAGAATGTGACTATTTGAAGGTAGAATCATTAAATTAAAATGAGATCAAAGAGGTCATCTTGAATCTAGTTTCACTGGTGCCACTATAAGAAGAGAAGTTGAGGACACAGACGTGTGCAGGAAGAGCAGGTGAAGACTCAGGGTGCCATGGGCAGGCCAAGCAGAGAGGCCTCAGAGGAAAACATCCCTGCAGACACCTTGTCTTGGACTCCTGACCTCCAGAACTGTGAGACAAAAGGTTTCTGTTGTTTAAACCACCAGAGTGTGAAATTTTGTTAAGGCCGCCCCAGCAAACCAACACAATCATGTTAGAAGCCGTCCCTCCTCACCGCTGCCCTTCTCTCGCTTGCCTTCATCCTTTCTACTCCCAGATGCTGCTCAGTGATTTCACCAAGTACAACCAGACGCTTCTGAACAATCAAATTAAGATCCTCAGTGACGAACAGTGTTCCAGGAAAAACTATACCTAGCACAGTGTCCTGTCGGGGAATTTGGTGTTAGGGACAGAGATGACCAATTTAAAAGGCCTAATAAGCATATCCAAACTGCTATCCTATGAATTTAGCGGAGGTGTGAGATTAAAGTCATCCTGGGCTTCCCCAGAGGCACAGCGGTTGAGCGCTGGGTTGCGAAGCTACCCGCAACCTCTGCAGCACCAGTTCAATCCCCGGCCGCCGGCGAGGGTCCCACATGGCGCGCAGACCTCTCCTGCCGCCCGCTGCTCCCCTCAGCAGTGTACTTCATCAGTCTGCCTGTTCTGGTCCCTGCTCTGGCTCTGGGGAATTCTCTCACCCTCCCGCGCTTCTGACTGTACCCAGTGCTTGTATAAATAAATAAATAAATCTTTAAAAAAAAATAAAGTCATCCTATGGGATGACCCAGTGGGCCACTTAGATTGTAGGACCTTTTCGAGTGTTAGGGAATGGATTGCTGCTTCTATTTTGCTCAAATTAGTTCTAATGAACTGCAATCGATATGAATGAGTTTAGGGGTTCTCCCAGTTTGATCTGGGTACACATGACCAGGGACAAGCTTCCAATATGGACCTCCCAATCTACAATGCAAGAGGTTCTCATCGAGGCCATAATGTTCCCTTCACAGCTTTACTCACTTTCCTGTCGGACCTGGGACCTAAAGTTTTCAACCACGCGGCCTGTAATGTCCTCCAGTGTCCTCCGCACCTTGCCGTGGACTCCTGCTCAGCCTTAGACAAATTTAACTGTCCACCACTTCTGTGCCTGTGGCTGCACAGATGAGCTCTGCTGGAGCCTAGATCCTTCCTCACCTGAAAGCGACCATCATTCTGTGTCTGTGGTCCTACCTTCCCCTCCATGGTGCCTTCCCACACCCTGCAGATATGCCGAATAGGCGCCCTGTCAAAGAAATCAGTCAACTTTCCATTTACCAGACTCTATATCTTTCCTTCTCTTAACATCCAAACCTGTGGGAAAAATCAGTCTGTATCTCACCCCCCATATTTTATCCAGGGCATCCCTCCATCCTGCCCACCCCCCGACACTTCAAGGAAGCCGCCAGCTCACACAAAGGTCACCCATGATAGCCTCATGCTATAAATGCAATAGAATTTTTTTCCGGGAACACTTGGCTTTCCCTTTCTGTGATGTTTAACTCTCCTGACTATTCAACTCCCCTACACCCATCCATTATTTAAAAAATAAAATTTCCTCCTTTCATAAGATCATTCTTTCCTGAAATGTCCCTCAGATTCTTGCTTCCAGGCAAACCCTGCCTCATCTTTTCACATTTAGTTCAAGTATAATATCCTAATGATTTCTTTCTTGATCCTTCCAGCTACAAATGGCCACTCCCTCCCTCTTGCTCAGCATAGACTTCCTTCTAATCCCCATCACATATGATTGACGGCATGTATTAGCCTCATAGAGAAAGGCCCGCTGGGTACTTAGACAATCTGAACGCTCTCAAATGCACAGAAACTAATGTGATTGTGCGCAGGCCAAACCAGTATTCAGGGCTGGTTTTCTCCTGTAAATTATGAATTTGCATCTCCTAAACTAGAACTCTTAAACAACAAGTTGGAGTAGACATGGTGGCATTCAAGGAGTCCGAGAGCCCAAAGATCAGCTCAGCATGATCAGCTCAGCTAACTATTTTATTGAACCATGAGCAGAGGACTCTAGGAGAGAATCATCTGAAGTGAGGAGCATCTCCTGAAGTGAGGAGCATCTCCTGAAGAGAGGAGCATCTCCTGAAGTGAGGAGCATCTCCTGAAGTGAGGAGCATCTCCTGAAGTGAGGAGCATCTCCTGGAGCTCATGCCATGAAATAATAATAATGTCATGCATATAAAAAATGTCATTTTTAAAAAGGCAGTTGTGATAAAATATTTGAGACTTCACTGGTGAGACAAAATAGCAGCAGTATTTATATTTACCTCCAGCTAGGACATATGCATCCTGTCCTTACCTGCCCCCACACCTGTCTGACTTGAGACACTAGATATGGAACTGAGTGAATGACAGTCACGTTCAGGTTCAGTTGGGAGGTGATTTTGATATTCCAGATTTTGTTCTTTTAGAAAAACTTGTTAAAGAAAATATGTTGGTATGGTTCCAGTTTGAACTGGTTCCATGTGTGTGTGCCCGTGTGTGTGTGTGTGTGTGTGTGTGTGAGAGAGAGAGTGTACACGTCTGCATGGGCATATGCGTGTGTGAGATCTGTTTATATATTGAGGGGGAAATGAGTTATTTTTATAATTCAATCAAAGTTAATGGCTAACAAGGATAATAATTTGAGCATATTAAGTCCATATATTTTCATCTTCCATAGCCTGATGCCCACCACACCATAAGTAGCTCCCAGACACAGTCTGCCAGGCTCACTTAGGTTTCTCATGCAGGACAGAGAAGCCATTCCTGCCTGCCTGCCCGGCCAGAAGGATTGATGCCCCAGGGAAGGAGGCAGACCTGGCCGGAAAGGAGCTCCACGTGGAGGTGGGAATCCAGCCTGACCCCCCTTGGGGAGCGTAGCAGGAGAGACCATATCAGCCATATCAGAGCCCACGGTCAGGGGTCTGCATCTCCACCCTCTGGAGCCCCAGGCCGAGGGGCTTGTTCCCTGCTTCCTGTCTGGAATTCCACAAGGACTAGCCCCTGGAATGGGCTGTGGCAACGTAGGCTGCTGAACAAAACCGTACAAGAGAGAGCAGTGCTGTCAACGCAAAAGCCTGAAGGAGACTCCTGGGCCTCCCTTGGTGTTCCCACGCGTAACGCAAGAGAGGGACGTTTTCCCCACCCTGTGGGGAACGAGAAAGGTGCCAAAGGAACTGACCGGAAGTTTGCTATCACCACGGCGGAGTAAACAGGAGCCCTCAATGCCCGAGGCAGAATTTCCAGGCCATCCTATGACCAGGAGGGACAACCTAGTGAAGGAGTTTGCAGAGCTGACAGGAGCTAAACGGGCTGAACCAGCCAGGAGGAACCACTCTCCTGCTGGAGCCCGGAGAGCATGCAACAACAGTTGCTGACAGAGGCCACTCACAGAGACAGATCCAGCCAGCACTTCGTCTTCACCCGCAGTGTCAGAGACCTGGGGTTTCCCAAGAAGGCGCCATAGACCCAGGAATCCTCTCCCTCATCAGCGAGGTCACACAAGCCCCTGGCTCACCAGACAGTATGGACAGAGAAAGGGGAGGGGTCGGAACACCCCAGATGATGTAATAGTTATCCACTGCTGTGTAACAAATTACCCCAAAGTTCTTACTTAAGAACTGTCAGTCACTGTCTGATGGTTTGTGACTCTGGAAATTGAGGATGGGTGAGTCCAGCCAGATGGTTCTGGCGTGGGGTCTCCCATGTGATGTAGTGAAGGTGGAGGTGCTCCCCTTAGCAGTGCCTAACGGTTATCTGGCGGCCTGACTGGGCCTGGAGGGCTCACTTAGTAGATGGCCCATTCACCTGACTGGCAAAATGGTGGATTATTGACAGGAAGCCTCAGTTTCTTGAGCTGCTTAAGTATCTTAAGTATGACACAGCAGCTACCATGCAGGAAAAGTGAACCAAACAGCAAGGTGGAAACAGAAATGTTTTAAATGGCTTTAATTTAAAAAATTGTCTCCGAAGCCACATTCAGGACCTGTATCTTCTCTTGCTTGTAGAGAACAATCTGTGTCAAGGGGGTGGGGACCACCTCAAAGTGTGAATGCCAGAAAGAGGGTCTTTGAGGACTGTCTACATGGCTGGCTACTGCAGTGAGGAGGTTATTTTTTAGGGTGAACCCTGGTGGCCTAGAGGGTTAAGTCTTAGTGTTATCAGTGTCATAGCCTGAGTTCCAGCCAGGGAGCTACCCACATGGCGCGGCAGACCTCTCCTGTCTTACCTGCTGCTCCCAGTCTGCCTGTTCTGTTCCCCACTCTGTCTCTGGTGAATCCCGTCACTGCCCCCACACCCACACCTCTGACCTACATCCCAGTTCTCATATGCATAAATAAATAAATAAATAAATCTTTTTTTAAAAGTTTATTTTTCAGTTGACTGAATAAATGACCAGAAATCTGATTTAACCAGAAGAGATGAGATGGTTCTGGGGTAGGTCTGAGGTTCATAGAAAGAGACTATGATACCTTTAGCTGGGGATTTCTTATTTATCCCGGTCTATCCACAATCATGGGGCTTCCTCAAAAAAGAGTTGTATCTGTTATTTAGGAAAAAAAAATAGTATTTGTCCAGGGCTACGTTGGGACAAATGTAGCAAATCTATTGCAGGCTTTGCTTGATTTCAGTTCAGCATCTGACAAATGCGATCGTTCTTTCTAGTTCCAAGGGCAGAGTTTCTTTACATTCATCTCCCTTATACCTAGTTCTCCATTATTCTTAAAAATAGATAAAGCAGGGCCTCCCCGGTGGCGCAGCAGTTGAGCGCTGGGTTGCGAGGCTGCCTGTCAGCCTCTGCAGCGCTGGTTCGATCCCCGGCCTCCGTAGGAGGGTCCCATATGGTGTGCAGACCTCTCCTGCCGCCCGCTGCTCCCCTCAGCAGTGTATTTCATCAGTCTGCCTGTTCTGTTCCCCACTCTGGCACTGGAGAATTCTCTCATACTCCCGCGCTTCTGACTGTACCCAGTGCTTGTATAAATAAATAAATAAAATAAAATAAAAAAATAAATAAAAATAGATAAAGCATTCCATCTTGTCTTTACTGAAGTTATACTATAGAGAAGAAAGGAAGAGGGTGGGAGAAGTCCCTTTAGGTAAAGCCTCATCCCCAGGGCAGCTCACTCACTGGTGGGAGGTGAGGGCTTCCGGTGAATTAGACCCCGTGATGTCCCTGGCCTCAAGCACCCAGAGGGAAATCTCAAGTTCCTCACACTGCTAAGCACCAGGCGGTGCAGACCCTGTCACCTGGGCCGCCTGCTCCGCACTAGGAAAACCAACCATGCAAGAGGGAAAACAAACCTCCAAGTATCTCAGGTAACAGGCCTGCCCCAGTGGCTTCTGGAAAACGGAAAAATCTCCGTAGGACATGGGAGCTTGAGAACGCGTTTTTCTGCAATGGAGTCTAAAAACACACCAGAGCTCATGTTTCCTGGATAATTGAAACCTTTGCTATTAATTGGAGAAGGGGATGGGGTGGAGGAGGCGGGCCACAGGGAAACCTTTTCCTGCCTTTGCTGGAAAAGCTCCTGCTGTGGTTTTGGAGAAACAAATAGCCTAGTGTTTCCCCTCAAAGCCAGAGCTGGGGAGGGGAGGGGAGCAGGGCACTGATGGCAAGAGGGAAGCTCTGTTCAGTGTGCTTTGGGGGCTGGCGAAGGACAGATGGCTCTGCTTGATGCTCTGGGAAAGGAATTCCTGAATCCTTCTTATTTCAAAACTTGCAACTTTGCACCCAGGCCCCCACAGGCCCAGCCTCAAGCACATACGAGTGTGTCCATCAGCAAGTAGCATGATTTTCTCAGGCAACTGGCACTTCCACATAGAGACTCCGTATATAGTGTTCAGTGGTGATGAAAGGAAATTATGCAGTTTTTGATATTATTAGCATCGCTACACCATAGAGAGCGCAAAGCAGTCCAGCAGACAGAAGTGAGAACTAAAAATAAAAGCTCTCATTTAGCATGCATTTGCCTTTGACTTGTATCTATTTAATACGCACCATGAGTTATGATAAAGTTAATTCTCCCTCCCCTACCTCTCTCCTCTTTCCAAATAATTCCCATAGGTCTGAGAACTCACATTGAGAGATACCAGAGCCAATGATTTAGAGAAACTTCCAGAAGAATCCCCAGGAGGAGAGTGGAGGATTCAGGGCATCTTAACCTAAAATTGACTTCCCAAAGGATCGGTCTTGTGGTCTTGGTCTTCAAGTCCAGTATTTCAGAGCTTTCCCCCCCGAGTATCCACCAAATTGACAGCTAAAAGCATTTTTGCATTATTCCTAAATAAGACTGCTCCTAGGCCACCTTACCTATAAAGTGGATCTAATTTGACAAATGTTAGAGTTGTAAAATTTTAATGAAAAATACCTAAAATACCCATTGCAATGCCTACGATACAAATGTCACTCCTGTCTCTAGCCTAATCTGTGATATGAGGGAAATAATTGCCTCACGATGTTATGAGGATTCAATGAAAACATCACAGCATCGAGTATTGTATCTGATATATGGAAGTCATTTAACAAGAGGAGTTTGAGAAATAATAGCATCAACAATATTTATGTAATAATTATTATTTGTCTCCACCTCTGTAACTTCGGGACAAAATAAAAATTCTTCTTTTCCTTTTATGTCTACGCTCCACCATCCCCCACCCCTGCCTGCGCTTACGTGACTTTGTAAGGTCTTGTGATTCTTGGCCGTCTTGAGTTCTGGACTTCGCTGCCCAAGGGGAGTTAATTGGTTTTCATGTGTTTGAGGTGCTGTGTTTAATGGATACCCCTTTGTTTTGGTTATTGTCTCTTTTTCTGTGCAGAAGCTCTTCAATTTGATGTAGTCCCAGCTGTTTATCTTTGCCTTCACTATCACTGCTTTGGGTGATGAGTCTTTAAAGATATTGCTGAGGTGCACGTCACATAGTGTTTCGCCTATATTCTATGTATTTTATGGTTTCAGGTCTTATGTCTAGTTCTTTAATCCATTTTGAGTTGGGTTTTGTGCATGATTTGAGGTAGTGGTCAAGCTTCATTCTTTTGCATGTAGCGACCCAGTTTTCCCAGCACCATTTATTGAACAAACTTTCTTTGTTCTGTTGCATATTCTTTGCTCCTTTGTCAAAGATTAGTTTACTGTATCTGTGGGTTTATTTCTGGATTTTCTATTTGGTTCCATTGGTCCATGTGTCTGTTCTTGTACCATTGGTCCATGTGTCTGTTCTTGTACCATGTACCATGCAGTTTTGATTATTATGGCTTTGCAGTATTGAAAACTGGTCCAACCACTATGGAAAGCTGTGTGGAGAATCCTCAACCTGCTAAAGATGAAGCTTCCATAGGATGCAGCAATTCCACTCCTAGGTATTTACCCAAAGGACACAGAAACTTAATTCAAAAGGGCACCTGCACCCCTATGTTTATAGCAGCACTGCTTACAATAGCTAAGCTTTGGAAACAACCCAAATGCCCAAAAATAGATGACTGGATCAAGAAGATGTGGTCCATATACACCATGGAATATTACTCAGCAATCAAAAAAGATAAACTCTTGCCATTTGCACCAACATGGATGGAGCTGGAAGGGATCCTGCTCAGCGAAATAAGCCAGAAAGAAAAAGAAAAATACCGGATGGTCTCACTCATAGCAGGAATCTAGAAAACCTAAATAAGGGACCAGGAAAAAGACTAATTATAATGAAGTCAAAATCAAAATCAACAAGCAACTGTAAACCAGAGAGACACTATGGGGGGGAGGGAAGGAGGGATTAGGGTCAAAACAAGTGGGGGGGGGAATTGCATGGGGAATATATCCAAGATGAAAATGCATACATTGTGCAAAAATGAAAAACAATGTAAAAAATATATAAAATTAAAAAAAATAAAGTAACGGATACCCAGATTTTTGCTTAGCAAGCCAAAGCTCAGCTAGGACAATTCATTTTTGTGGTGAGCAGACAGGCAGGTGGCTCTAAACGTGAAGTATCTGAGGCTGGGAAGAGAATGAGTGGATGGGGAGAGGTGGGCACCCCAATAGTGGCCAAGACTTGGGTGTTGTTCCGAGACAATACTCGAAGGCGGCAAGCCTACCTGAGTATCCGGGAGAACCAGCCTTCTGCCATGTTCTGGTGCCTCCATGGAGGCCTCTGTGACATCAGAGCATTGCTCAGGTGCTATGAAGCAGCCACATTGTGCAGTAAACTATCAACAACGAAGACTCTGATCCCCACAGACAAAGAAGCAATCCCCTGTGCTGCCTTCCCTTTGTTGCATTCCTACCCCGTCCTCAAACTCTGAGACCATAAGAACAAATTATCCAGTTATAAAAGGAATCTCTCCTGCTAGAAAAGCAGGGGGAACACAGAGGCGTAGGTTGGGCAGCCTGATTTCTCGCTCACTAATATTTCATTGGTTAGACAACCACATCCCCAAATTATCCTTCCATTGGTTCTGCTTCCAGAGAGTCTCCCATAAACATGAGAGCAAGCAGGTTCCCTGTGGCCTAATTCCATGTCAGCTGCTGTAGATGGTTCATTTTATGTTCCGTCTCAACTGGCCACAGGCATCCAGATATTTGGCCAAACATTTCTCCGGGTATTTCCATGAGATTGTTTTGGGATGAGGACACATTAAATTTGCCAGTCGTTTACATGTCTATGTAACTTTAGGGCTTTGTTTTTGCTCCTCCATATGCACACAAGCTTCACTCACCCTCCCTCTGCCACACCTCCTGTCCCAATGCCCTATTTCTTCCCTTCCCCTACCCCCTCCTTCCTTCTCCTGAGCTTAACACTGGAATCAAAGACGCTTGTAACACAGATTGCCCTCTCTGATGTGAGGAGGCCCCGTGCAACCAGTTGAAGTCCTAAATAGAAAAGGTGGACCATCCCTGACTAGGAGGAATTTCTTCTTAACAAACTGCCTTCTGACTGGGACATCAGCATTTTCTGCCTTTGGATTCAATGACATTTACTCTTCTGGGCTGCTGAGACTGCCAGCTTTGGGCAGGAAGGACACCATCAGCTCCCTTGGTTCTCAGGCCTTTAGCCGCACACTGGACTCCACCGTCAACTCCCCGGGGCCCCTAGCTTGCCAACTCACACCACAGATCTTGGACTTGCCAGTCTCCATAATTGCATGAGCCACTTCCTTGTAATATATCTCTTTCTCTCTCCATAGTACGGTTCCCTGGAGAACCCAAACTGATACACCCCCTCTAGTTCCCAGGTCCAGCGCCCTCTTCATCAAATGTTCTCTTTCCATGGAACAATACATATGTTAGTAACACAATGCTGGGAAACTCTTCAGAGAATAGTAGGAACTTTAAATCAACTGTTTGAAATTACAACTCTGGTTCCAGACCTGTGGTTTTGGTGCCAAATCCTAAGAAGATGATAAATGAGAGTAAGAAGGGAAATAAAATAGTGTGTGAGGCTTTGATGGATGTGGAACATCTGAAGTAGCTCCTCCATGGGTCAAGCTTTTGTCCAGAAACTTCTGGGCCTTGTTTGGTTTTGCACTGAGGCTTCCATTTATAGCAACATGTTTTCCAAAAAATCAAAGGGGAGATGCATTGTTGGGAACACAAAGATCATCACAGAGCTAGACAGTTAGCAAGTGAGCAAGAGGAGGCTTCTGTCATTGCACACAAAACAAAGCGCCTGGAGCAGAAATGGGTGCAGATTTCTTCAGAAAGGCCCACCGCCTGTGAGTCCTCGGGGCTGGGGAAGCATTTAGAGTTTTCTTTGACTCCTTGGTGGCTCTGTTATTAATTTGCCTTGGGCTTGTGTAGGGGAAGGATGGGCCAGAGCAGAGTCTCTATGACCCGAGCGGATGGGTGAAGGAGTCATCCTGGAGCCCTCAGTGGCTTTTTCAGGCTTTTATTGGGATTTTACCAGGTCCAGAGCAGGCAAGGGTACCAGGGGGGCCAGGAGGGAGGCTGGCAGGCCTCCCAGCCCCGAGTAAGTCTCTCTCTCTGGGCTCCCCAGCATTCTCTCATGGCCTTTGCCTCTCTGCTCCTTTCACTCTGCTGGCGTCCCCATGACGCCACCCTTATAAGGCTAGTCTCTCAGCCTAGATGTGCCCACTGACATATGCCCACATCCCACTCCAGGTGCCCACCAGCAGGCATGCATTCAGGACCACAGGGGTCCCTCATCCAACCTAATGGCGGGAGGGCAGAATAGCCTGATACTTTACTCACCCTACAGCTTGCTAAAAAGTATTTCTTCGAGGGCTTCTGGATCCTTCTCCTGTCTGAGATGCCCTAACTTTTATGACGTAGAGTTAACCAAAAAGAAGAAGCAGAGGCAACTCGGGGCTCTTTTGCCGGCCATTTGCACCAAGAGCATGCCGGATAATTTATGAAAGCAGAACTAGTCTGTGGGAGTGAAATAGAGGCCTGCACTACACGGCAGTCATAATGAACAAAATAAATTCCATCGTTATGCAGATGCTCCACGAGACCTGTCAGCGTGTCGAGGAAAATTTACTTCCTGTCACTGATGCTCGAGACAAACAATTCCATGAGATGAAAAACAACGCAGAAGGAGGAAGCAACACCTGGCTCTGCTGCTCTAGGAAGCTTATTCCGCACGAGGCAGTGAAAGCCCTGGGGTGACCGCTGAGCCATTCTGCTCCCCAGTAACAGGAAGACTTGTCTTTTTTTTTAAAAAAAAGATTTATTTATTTATTTATGCATACAAGAGCTGGGGTACAGGCCAGAGATGCGGGGGTAGGGGGGGCTACAAGATTCACCAGAGCCAGAGCAGGGAGCAGAACAGGCAGACTGACTGAAATACACTGCTGAGGGGAGCAGCAGGCGAGTCAGGAGAGGTCTGCCGCACCATGTGGGTTGCTCCTTGACCATCCGGGGATCAAACTCTTGCTGCAGAAGCTGTGGAGTGCTTCAAAGTGTGGTGCTTAACCCCCTGAACCACCAGGGAGGCGACTTGTCTTTTTTTAACCAGCACTTAGACCTGGAAACATTTATCATGCCCTGGGAACAAGGGTGTCTCTCTATTTGAGTTGTTTTGAGTGAGAGGCTATAAGAGAAGCTAAAATAAAATACTGGTGGCTTTGTAGAAATGAGGGGTTGTTTCCATTTCCCTCAGTTCCTATGACTTGCTCCCCTTTAAAGAAATCCAGAAATCACTCCCTCTCACGTCTACCAGTCATGTATGGCCTCCTTCCTTTTGCCAGTCCAGTGAAATCTGCCAAAAGTCAAGGATTCCTCACCTTACCTCTATGTCTGGTTTTGCTAAAATTTAGAAAGTGCCGTGGCTCTTTGGATGGTGCCAAGGAGTTATATATTCCGGTGTCCAAGCCACCTACGATTACTTGTCTTGGCTACGATCTGTACTGTACTCAGTCCCAGTGGTAATTGTACCATAAACCATGTCTCTCTCCTATTTTGTTTCATTTGGAGGGAGGGGCTCTGCACCAGTATTGCTTTCTCATTAGATGGCTTCATTCTGACCACCAACTTTCTTTGCTATAAAAACCTTTTATGCATTGAAAATGTACGCTGTGGCCATTCAGCCCAATGGATTCCCTCTTGGCAATTGTGTTAGCAGATCCCCCTGCCATCTGGAATATACCTGACTGTCCCCCAAATTGCATGCATTGGCACTTTTCCTTGACTTCTTTTTTAAATAATCTCCACTGAAAAGCAAAAGTGACTATTAATTTCTCTTTGAAACATTCCAGAGGACCTGGATGTGAAGTTAGCTTGCCTTTCCTTTCCGAACTCTCAGGCAATCATCACAAGCAGTAGGTAAGGATAGCTGATCTATCATTGCTCAGAAATCTGTAATTTACACTGCAATCTTTACTAACCAATTATCCAATTTATATTGCTAAAAGGGTAAACAAAAAAGCCTTCTCACATTCTCTAAAACAAAGAGAATCACACTAGACAAGGCGCCTGCAAGAGGGCTACCCAGGCGACCTGGTTTTGGAAGGCAAATAACTTCAACCCAGCAGCTTTATTTAGCTTGGGTTTCTCTCAGCTTCTGCATAAATTTACTATAAAATCATAAAGCAAAACATAAAAGGAGAATGGCAACAGTAAAGTAGCTATGCCACAAACTCAGCAACGATTATATATTCTATCTAGGGCACACTTAACTCTCTAATTGCTAATTGTAATTTAAATGAAAACATGTGTTTCTTGTTAAATTCATCAACTACATTTTTTTTCAGTGCTACCGAGAACTGTGATTAAGGCTGAATGCACACCTCAGGGTTTTGACAACCACAGGACTCAGGCAGTTATGGGATGTCATCTGAAGTTGGAAGTCCTTAATGGGCATGTCACTTCCAAAGCACACAACTCGGGAGGATGGAGGGGGATCATTTGGGAGAAGTCGCTCAGCTGGGATTCTTCGCACAATGTGTGCTACTATCTTCCACATATCCAATTGGTAAGACTCAGGGAAATTCATTCAGATCCAGCCCTCTTTGGAATCCAGCCCTTTTCCTATTAAATATACTCTGTAGAGGAATAAAATCCTGACCAATTGGAGCACTGTTAGGGTTTCCAGAGCCAGTTCAACTTGGGTGTGTGTGGATGATTCCCCAAGGCTTGAGGCAATCCTTGAACTATGTGGGAACTCAATTCAGTTCAGCTCAATTCTGACACTACCCAGAAGTGGCATCAGGTTCCACAGGTAATGGGCACAGTCTCAGGTGCCCACCACTTCAGATCCCAGGTGGTAAGCCCAGGTGGTTACCTGTGCTTCTCACCAACAAGTTACAGATCAGAAGCTCTGAGCCACAACACCTCTGGCTTGTTCAGTTTGCTCAAATGGCAGACAGAACTCAGGAAACTCTTCTACTCACTGGATCACCAATTTATTACAAAGCTTATTATTCAAGAATAGCCAGATGGAAGAGATATATAGGGCAAAGCATGAGGAAAGGGTGTGGAACTGTTATGCCCTCTCCAGGTATGCCATTCTCCCAGCTCTGCCATGTGTTCCCCAGAGCAGAAGCTCCCTGAAGCCCCTCCTCAAGGCTTCGATGGGCTTCATTACATAGGCATGGCTGATTAAATCACCTGCCATTGGCAATGGACTTGATTTCCAACTTCTTTTCCCTTCCCGGAGATCTAGGGGTGGGACTTGAAGTTCCTACCCTCTAATCATATAGTGGACTCACCTGGCTATCAGCCCACGTGCTTAAGTGCTTCCCCAAAAACCACCTCTTTAACATAACAAAAGACACCTTGCTCATTTTTAGGAGCTGTGAGCCAGAAATTATGTTTAAAGAACAAGTATGTGTGAGAAATATATTTTGGTAATCTGAATGACCAAATGCATATTTCTTATTAATCACGATAACAGAAGCACTCTCCTGGCAAAGAAACTGGTTCTCTTTGTAACTGTCCTGCTCCCAAGGAAGCCATCACACCCCGCAGGCACAAGAAAGATAGAAAATAATACGATGTGGGGAATATAAGAATAAAATTTATTATTTAAAAAAAAAAGAAAGAAAATAATATGATGCTTGTCAAGGTCGTCTATGACATGCAGGGCTTCATACATCTGTCTGGCACCAAGTAGTTGCTCAGCAAACATCATTTTCATCTTCTTAGTTGATGAGCACAAATTTGATATTAAGAATTAAAAGAGAAGTAAAAAGCTTCTCCACTCAGCTTTGCTTATTTGAAAGTAAGCCTTAAATCACAAAAGTCTGAATAAAGAACAATTTTTTAATGTACAAAATTATTATTTTCAATTTGATGGCATAACTACAAATGCTAGTTGAATCACATTTTATTAAATTTTTTGTTAGACTAACAAGAATCATTTGTGAATAGCTTATTAATTCATATGAAAAAACATCTGTAAAGTGTTTGAGTCTGTACCAGTCTGTCTAGGCCCTCCAGAGGAACAAAACTAATGGGAGATATAGATAAATAGATGATAGATAGATCTACATACATATACCACTGCTATTGGTATGACATACAGTTCCTATTGTGTCACATGTGTATATGATTTATTATCAGGAATTGTTCCCTGTGCTTGCAGTTGACAAGTTAGAGAGACCCAGGAAAAATGGTAACATATGTTCTAGTCTTAGCCTCAGTCCGAAGGCAGAGAAGACCAATGTCCTAGCTTGAAGACACTCAGGCAAATAGAGGGAATTCTCCCTTAATTTTTTTCTTCTATTCAGTCCTAAAAGGGATTGGATAAGCCCACAGGCACTAGGCAGGACAATGTCAATCTCATGCTAACACTTTCATACCCAAAAATGTTTGACCAAATATTTGGGCACCCCAAGATCCAGACAAATTGACACATACAATTTACCATCACAGAGTCTAAAGTGATCTTTCAAGATGTTCAGTGCATTCCCTCCCTGGCATGCCAAGGGAAGTGCGTGGCTTTGGAGTCAGGTAGATCTACACTGAATTCTTTGTTTTGTTTTTTTTTTTTTAATTTATTTATGCTTACAAAAGCTGGAGTACAGGTCAGAGGTGCGGGGTGAGAGGATTCACCAGAGACAGAGCAAGGAACAGAACAGGCAGACTGACTGAAATACACTGCTGAGGAGAGCAGCGGGCGAGACAGGAGAGGTCTGCTGTGCCATGTGGGTAGCTCCCTGGCTGGGGATCGAACTCGTGCTGCAGTGCCTGCAGATAGCTTCATAGTGCTGCAACTTAACCCCTTGTGCCACCAGGGAGGCTCTCTTCTACCCATTCTTGCGTGTGTGCTACTGTGGGTTCTTATTGTACCTTCTTGCATGGACACTGTCTAGTACACCAGCATGTCCTCATGACCTCATGTCCATCCTATGAAGCCTTATGACTTATCTGCCCAACCTTCCTCACAGGGCCCTGCTCTTCCCCACTGCCAAGCCCTGGGACTCAGTGATTGGCACATCTGGTAGCATTTTGCCTGATTCTGAGTGGTCAGAACCTCAATTATCCAGACATCTCTGCATCAGGGACAGCGTGGGAAGGGCAATGTCCTTGCCTTCAATGAGGTAGGATCGATGCCCAAATTCCTGATGACAAGAGTCCTGCTAACTCACAAGAGGAAGTGCCTGCCCAGGAGCCCTCATTGGTATGCCCTGGTCAGTGACTGTTTTTCTAAAACAGACTTTGGTCAAACTGATTATGAACACAGACAGAGTTCTTATGTTAGAATTTCTGACAGTGTACTCTCCTAAGGCAACTTAAGCTTAGTGGCTTAAACAATAGAAACTTAATGTCTTTCCATCCTAGAGGCAAGACGTTTGCTATCAAGATGGCAGCAGGGAGACTGATTTAAAGCCTCTCGTTCATGACTACTCTGCCCCACTCTTGCAGGAGAAAACAAGTTGAGTCCCCGGAGAAATTCAAGCACAGGGGCCTTGGGCTTTGGGACAACAGGCACGAAGGATGAAGAGATGAGGCTGCACAGAAAAGAAAGGAATCAGAAAACTCTGAAGGTGCCAGAAGCACTCAGAAGCAAGTGACAAAGGATCAGGAATCCAGATCATTTGTGGGCTTTTCAAAGCAACCTGAAAGCTGGAAGCTGGTGCAGCAATGCCTCTGAGACTCTGAGAGGAAATTTTTCCAATGGAAAACTCCGTTTCGGCCAAATGACCAAACAAGTATGAGGGTTAAATAAAGACATTTTCAAATATGCAATGCCTGGAACAACCTTCAATGTTTGGACCAATATGTTTCACCAAAATAAGACAATAGACCAAAGAAAGATGTTGTCCAGGAGCAGGGGAGCCCCCCCAAAAAAGAGGGATGAAAAAATCCCCTAGAAGATAATGAAGATGTGCCGGGCTGACAGCCATGCATCAAGTTTAGAAGGGTAGACGGCTCTGGGTAAGACATTTCCAACAAAAACAAAGGATCTCTTTTGTTGAAAAATCTGGCAGAAATATTAGTTATATATAGAGAGAAAATTAAGCAATAAAGAAACCAGACAACCCCAGGAGAAATGAAGAGCTGTAGAAGAAAGAAAACATCATCATAATATGCTGTGATTATGTATCTCCACTGTGAGCAAAATTTCTACAGTCATAACCATGGAAGTACCTCATTGTACTGTGACCATGTGATGCTTCATAACTGCGCTGGGAGGAGGTAGGGGGACAGGTACAGGTGTATGTGACTGTGGGTGCCTAAGAGATTTCCTGTATAAGATTTCCTTAGATCTTTTATATAAAACTCCATTGATAACATCTAAATTGGAAAAAATAAAGTATACGTTAATTAGAAAAGTGGGCATAAATAACACCAGCGTTAACACTAAAAGAATTAAAATTGGGCCTCCCTGGTGGCGCAGCAGTTGAGTGCTGGGTTGCAAAGCTGCCCACAGCCTCTGCAGCGCTGGTCTGATCCCCAGCCGCTGGGCGAGGGTCCCACATGGCGCGCAGACCTCTCCTGCCACCCGCTGCTCCCCTCAGCAGTGTATTTCGTCAGTCTGCTTGTTCTGTACCCCACTCTGGCTCTGGTGAATTCTCTCACCCTCCCACACTTCTGACTATACCCAGTGCTTGTATTAATAAATAAATAAATCTTTAAAAAAAAAAAAAGAATTAAAATTGGTGGCCTTGGGGGTGGAAAGGGCAGGTAAAAGAGAGTTTTTCTTTATATGCCTTGTAGTACTCTTTGACATTGTAAATTATGTCCATATATTACTTCGGTAAAAATTAAAACTATGATAAAATCTTTTTAAGAGTAGTTTTGAATATTCATGTTTTTCATTTATGAGCTCTCTCAGCTCTGCCCACCAGCTGGTTCTGCATGTCCACGCTCTGAGGTGTTTAGAATTACATAGGCCCTTGGAAGGGGCATTTCTTCACCCTGTGATTACTCTCTCATGCCTGAGAAAGTAATACTATTGATGGATAGATGGTTTTAATTAAGCTTCCAAGCGAGCCCTGTTACATGGTGAATAAAAGCAGTTCACATTGCTTTTCATGTCTTGTCTGCCTGATTGTGTAGCCGAAGGTATAGCTCAGGATATCTGTGCAGACCAAAAGGTGAGCTCGTTGGGGTTTGCTTACTTTTAACCACAGTTTATAAACCCAGAAACCTTTAAAGCAAATCCAACCGTGTAGTCTAAATCATCCAAATCTGTGGGTAATCATCTACTTTGGAAATCGCAGCATCCACCATGATTGTGTGTTACTAAGCACAAACAGAAAGCTAGAAAGTCTGGGATGTTGACAGCCCCACCCACAGAAGGCCGCCGGGCAGAGTTCAGGCAAAGCCTTACTTTCAAGGCTTCTGCAAACTTCCAAGTCTGCCCTCTGAAGCTCCTGTTTCATACATTTTATTGGTAGATGAAGTCAAAAGATCTGTCTGGAGAATTCATCTGACATGATGGTGAGTCCAGTAAGCTAATTTTTCTTTTCTACAAATGCCCTGAGCAAGCTCTGTCAAAGCATCACACAAACACGCCAAAAGTACCTGGTCACCAATGGGAAGAAGGGCTCCCAAGTTGCAGAGCTGCAAGCCTCGCTCCTGCTAGGTGATGAGAGGGGCCCCTTGTTAAGGCATGAGTAA